AGTTTTGTTCAGTTTGCTGTATTCATGTAGAAACTCGCAAGTTTCTTATTTTGATACAGTTGGATAGAGCATCGATTACTCTATCGAACCATATAGTTTTCATTTTATTTCTGTTGGATCTAGCCCAAAAATTTGATAAATCTTAAGAAGCAGCCAAAACCATTTTTTTTAACCAGCAATTTTCAGATCATTTCTGAGATAATTTTCTCGATGGTTATTATTTAGTGGGGTATTGAAATTTTTTTATTTATATATAGAATAATAAACCGTTCTTTTCTCTATCAAACTATATATTTTTTGGATAGACTTATTTAATATTTCCACTATAGAATTAGTGAATTTTTCAAAAGATTTTTCGTGAACTTTTTTCATATATAGTTTTTGGCTGTTTTTTAGGGAAATTTCTGTTTTTTAAACATCTACTCTTCTTTTCTTCAGCATGTAGCTAAATAGAGCGTTTATGTCTCTATCGTTTTTACAGTTTTGGTTAGACTTACGTTGAGTCTTACAAGTGAGTTTTTGCGAAAAGTATCACAAATTTGGTTTTTCACTGGCACAAAAATGGGTGAATATTTAACACTAAATATCCCTTTTCTCCTCAATTTCGAATTACTTCCGTTTAATTTTTTTTGCACGAGGAATTGCGATGAATCTCTTCCATTCACATCAACTTTCGTTATTATTGAGATTACTGTTGCTAAAATATTACTGTGCAAAAGTTTCGTTTCAGCGCTTCTCGAACTTCATTAAATTTTTGAACAAGATGTAAAATAAATGGAATAAAAACTATATAGCTCGATAGAGCAACTGATGCCCTATCGGACTGTATCAAAATAAAAATCATCTGGTGTTTTACATAAATATAGCAAACTATACAAAACTATCAAAAATAACGTAATCAAGCTGTATAACAAACACAATTACTATAATATGTTTTTTAATCATTATCAATGCTTTCTGCATGAGTATATTATGCATTGATCATTTATTAATCTCTCTAATAATAATGGCTAGCATTAGTTGTCCTCTCATAGCTCTAATGCCAAAGATGACCAACTAAAAGACACTAGCGTCTACTTTCTTCACTGTTTTCGATTCCATCTCGAAAAAGGACTAATCCTAGAAGTCTCTTTTGTTGAAATGATGCTTCAGCAAATGAAACTACTTGCTAACCTCGAATAATGTTGTGTGATTTCTATATCTTAGAATATCAAGCTTTGTATTTGGATGAATATAATTTAATTTTCTATCTTTAAGTTGATCGTAGCACAAGGTACTACCATACAATGCATACGTTCGCGAAGAGAAGTATTAGATCTGATAGTAATACTTAGTAAGATGATATAATACAAAACTCGGTATAAATTTCCCAAATCTAACCCATCTTCAGAAAAATCTGCAGTTGCAAGACAGAATAAATGAATCATGTCAATAAATGTGATGTTGGACTGCAAAATTTGGATATACTATCGATAGCTTTTATTTATATTATTGTTGAGAGAACCGGTTATACAGAAAGAAGCATGTTCGACTATTGCACACAAATACAATGTTTTTTAAAAACAATTTTTTCACTTTCTCGAATATATAGGAAATAAAGGACGACTACGAAGCCTGACATTAACATTGATAGAAACAGATTTCGTATAAAAACATTATTTGACACATAGTCAATCTTATTGAATTTCATCAGATAAAAGTCCAAAAGTGAATGGTTATTCAGTCGTTCGATTATATCCAACAGAAAATGTCTTAGCGTTATCTTTAATTTGTTCTTGATGTAGAGGAAGAGATAATCATGAATAATTAATTTGAATGTCGTAATACTCTCAATAAAGTAATATATTTCGGTTCGGTTCGAGTATATTTCCAAAAAGTCAATTCGAGTTCAGTTTAGTTCGGTATAGCCCAGACTTCATATACTCACAACAAGAATAACTGATAAATTGCACTACACTTGTGTATCACGATTGTATAGTAAGACCATCCGTCCAATGCATAAATAGTAATTTATCTTGAACTATAACAAATACGTATTTCAGTTTCTATTCAACTTTTTTAAATTTATCAGATAGAAGTGAAAAGATGACAATAGATCAATTACTTAAGAATAATATGCTGTTGTCAATTAAATGAGCGTCCTTCTGTTGTTCTTTGCAGCACAAAACAATGAGAGAAAAAAGCAGAAAAATGAATTAAAAATTTACGTCGCATACAAGTGACCGATTGTCATCGACACTTTATATGTAATTGTTTTGAATATAAAGAATGAAACGCTGTATAGATTAAATTAACTATGTAAAACAGATGGTCAAAGGTTGTTTGATTATTGTCAACAACATATATTTTTACGAAATAGATGATAATTCAAGCAATATTAGTTCTGTTCGATTCGACATCATTTTTCAACAAATGGTTAAGATTCAGTTCGGTTCGTTTTCGGTCTTTGGTTTACATCGTACGACAAGATTAGTTATTCTTTTCTTCAGTCTAGATCAGCTATTTTCTCTTTAAATATTTATATATAAATTTCAACTTTATTCAATAAGAACAAGAAAAAAGATAGTTATTTCCATCGTAAATGTATCTTTTTATACACACGTTTGATTGTATAATTAAATAATCATTTTTCTGAACGAATTATCGTATCGAAATTTTTAATGATTTCATCATTCGTTGTTGGAATATCAAAAATTAAAGAACGAAGACAATTACTATGATCATTATTTGTATTGAAGATATTTCGTAAAAACGATTGAATATCTATATTATTTATATATTTCGTTTCAAAATATACCATACGAGGACAAACTGTTGCGATATTATAAAAATCGTTAATAACATTGATTTGTTTAATATAAACTTTTGTAATTTTAATTGGATTTTTAATTGTAACAATACGTGAAAAGTCTCTATAATTTAATTTAATTTTTCCCTTGTATGATAATGAGTCAAGTTTTAATGTTATTAGAAATGGCAATTTATTTACCAATTGAATTAACACACCCAAGAAGATAGATTTTTCAATATTTAAATGATAAATTTGTTGTATAGTTATAATACGTTTTATTTGTTCGAATATAATTTCATCATATGAAGGAATAATAAAATTAGTCAATATTAAACTAGTTGATGTTGAATATTCAATATTATTATCATCTATATAATCATACCATCGTTTTCTGAAAAAAAAAGAATTAATTTTCTATAAAAAATATTCATCAATATACTTGTATGGATAAATGATATATTTAATATCTTCATTATCAATTTTAATATTAAATATCCATTTTCGTTCAATCCAAAATGTTGAAAAAAATTGATTTATTCGTTCAGAATATATTTCATATTGTTTATTAATATCAATATGATAATAATATGTAAAATAAAATTTTTCTAATTTAGGATAATAATATGAAATAAATTGTTCCCATCGATGAGCATCAAGAAGAATGATATTTTCTGAACAATTAATAAATAAGATTTTTAAATTAGAACATAATTTATTTGAGAATATTTCTAATTCATGATGTTTATTTATCATTTTTTCATAATAAAACAAATAAAAATGTGTTTTAATTAAAATTGATGAAGAATAAAGAAGTTGTTCAAAACGAGAATTAAGTTTAGAAAATGTTTTAACTATTTCACCACCATCGAAATAATCAAATATTTCATATAAAATTTCATTTGATAAATCTTCAATAGAAGTTATTAATTGATCTATTCAAATAAATATATCAATAATCTTATTTTCATTAGATAAATAACTTACTTCGAAATGTATTTCTTAATTCATTTAATATTTCATTGAAAACTAGCTTTTGTTTAATTGCATTCATATATATTATATCGTTATGCTTCATACATATATATATATATAAATATTTCATCATTCCAACATTTTCAATAGACTTTTATATGCGAATGAGACAAAAAAAAGAAAAAAAAACAGGCTAATAAAGTCAGTTTCAGACGGAAAAGAAAGAGTTAAAGGTCATTGAGTTTTGTCAAAAAAGAACTATGATAGAATAAGAAAATGTATGTAAATATTAAAAAGTTTTATGAAAAATAAAATCAATAATAATGTTTAGTATAGTCATATCCATTCTAGATGAATTTTATCACATAAACGTTGAATTGTATTATCAACAAGTAGTTTGTTTCTTTTTACATCTGATTATTTTGTCGAATTTTTCAATCATTTGATCATTAAAAGCACAAACAACAAAGTTAATGATTGATATAATTTATAATCTTAATTAAAATCTCTTTTATAATTACTTCAATATAAACATTATGAATAACATTGATTTGTAAATAGTTCATGCATGATGAAAATCTTTCAATTCTGTAATATGAAATATATTTTCGTTGATAAACTTTTGTGATTTTATTTATATTTGTTATGTGTTGAAAACTCGTTTTTCATTGTTAAATTTTCTTCTTATGATAATAACAAAGAATCAATTTTCAATCTTATAAATTTAGGTGATGATTCTATGATATGATTTAACATTTCAATAGGAATCAATCTTTGACAAATTTCTAAATGATAAATCTATATTTCAATTAAAGTATAGTTAAGAGTTATGACTAATGATTCAATACAATGATCACAAGTAATATTTGTAAATTTCAATTGAGTAGAAACGATTATTTCTAATATACTTGTAAGAACAAATTGAATAAATAATATCTTCAATATCAATAACAGTTTCAAAGATCGATTTTCTTTCAATTGAAAATGATGAAATAAATTCATTTGATTTTTCATGATGCTTTGATATTTCATTATGTTTGAAATTAAATACATCTAATTTTAGCAAATATTCGAAAATTACTTATTCCTATTCATCAGCAATATTAAGATAATACATGTCTTGACATGTAATATTAACATGTAAAAATTTCAATTTTCAATTCATATTCTTCATCAACATTTCAAATCTATTAAATTTCATCGAATCTATATATTTATAATAAGATGTGTTAAATTTAACCCTCATCCGCCCACCTGTAAAACTAGCACTTATTGCCCACCTGGGGTCCGCACGGACCCCAAGCCGATAAGATAGATACAACAGACGCTGTAAATAGTATACTATGATAGCACTATGTGGCATAAGTTTTGCGTGTTATACGATTATTATCTTATAAAAAAGAAACTATATTTAGGTATTTTATATTTTATTTCTAAAACCTTTTTTTATAAATCCTTTTTATCCTAAAAATGTTTCGCTACACACAGTGCAAATAACTTTATGATGATCAGGACAACAGGGAATATTACAACTTGAACAATGAGTAACAACTTTCCGATCGCGCTCTCGCGGACAAAGATGACAACGCTGCTTTGCAGTGTCTGTTGAAACTGTATTCGGTTGTGAAGTAGCAACAGTTAGTCCAATTGCTTGCATAGCTATTCGAACGCCTTTTTGAAGTGCTTGTGGCTGATGTTGTCGTCTTTCCAAATGAGATTGAATGAGATCATAACCTAATTCCATTAGAAATATACGTCGACGATAGCATTTCTTCTCATTCCATTGAGGATTTTTAGTTAACCAAACGATGCAAGCAGCAAGAGCACCAACATCAATTATGTTGAAGAAGAACGTCATTGGCCATCGTTTTGTTTTTCGTTTACATGAATATGTCTGAACCATCTGATTCATTCGATCGACCCCACCTTTTGTATTGTTGTAATATAAAATAATTTCTGGTTTTTTTCTTTTTCTCATCGACAATTGTTTGATCATGATGAAGAGATGATAACAAAATCACAGCATGTGCTTTCTTAGGTACATAGCTAACTAACGTTAGCTGACGATCAAAACAAAATATCGATGATTGTTCAGGACGATGAGTATCAGGCTGCAGCTCTCGTGGAATTTCCTTCTTATTTCGTCGAATAGTTCCAACCAAAGTCGTTTGAACACCTAGAAGATCTTCCGCCAACTCTGCGCTAGTAAAATAGTTATCCGTGGTAATTGTCCGTCCTGTATTGATCCAAGGATGAACCAACTGTTTCACTAGGTTACGAATTCGATCTTTATCTTTAGCTGCAGTTGGTGCTCCAGGCTGACGTCCTAAATAAACTTCAGCATTCAAAGGATATGCTGTATCTGAGTCACAACACCAGAAGATCTTCACCCCATACTTTCCTGGTTTACTAGGTATATATTGACGAAAATTGCATCGACCACGAGTTGGTATTAGCTGTTCGTCGACGGTGAGTGATCCACCAGGCATGTAGCATATTTGTAGGCGAGCTAAGAACATTGTCCATAAATCTCTTATTGCTGCCAGTTTATCCGCCTTCAATCTTTCCTCTCTCGTCGTTGTATTGTCAAATCGGCAAAATTGCAGCAAGCTTTTGAAACGGTTCTTGCTCATAGTTGCTCGAAATATTGGTCGTCCATTGATCATTGACCATAGTTCATCCAGAGTTTCATTTTTCGCTCGATGAACACCTGCGAGGAGCAACAGCCCAATGAAAGCCCACATTTCTTCAAGATCTGTGTCCCTCCATTGACTTTTTTCATCAGGATTTTCTTCACTCCATCGTTCCAAGAGTAGATGTGCTCGTCGGTTGGTTTCTTTGACCAAAAGAAGAACCATTTCCTGAGTGATCAGAAGTTGAAATGCTTCTTTTAGAGTTTGTATATCTGCTGCTGGTCGACCAACACCAGTTCGCTGTCGCAATATATTAGCAATTGGAACTTTTTTCTTGGGAGGTTCTTTCGATGTCCATTGTCGACCAGATTTTGAAGAAAATATTTTAACCGGTGTTGGTTTAACTTGTGGTTTACGTTTTGCTCGACGTCTAGGTGGTTCTTCGTCACTCATACTTTCGGTATCAACACTATTTTCATCGGATTCATCACCTGAATCCTTTTCGACCGTGCCATCATCTGATTCATCAGAAGTATCTTGAAGAGTAGAAGGTATTTCCGCATCTTCAGAATCATGATTTACATTAGTATCTTCGTCGCTGGACTTGTCATCGAAATGTTCCGAGTCGTCGAGCCAATATTTAGATTGATTGAAGTTAGAGCGTTTTCTTTTATCCATATGTGTTTTGATAATAGTCGTTAGCGATGCAAAAAAATATAGTGATTTTATTGCTTTGAGCAAGAGGTATATATATATATGTTTTTGCGAAGAATAAGAAAGAATTCCGTAGAGCATAATAGAAAAAAAAAAGAAATTACGAGAAGATTCAAAAGAGAGTACATGTCATCTATGTAGAAAGAACGAGAAAGAAAATAGATGTACTTGAACATACTAGAGAAATGATATATGCAATCACGTATAATGGTAGAACGAAATAAAATATAGATGGAACATGTATATATCGTGACGTCATCGCAAAAGCAGAAAGAAAGAAAAGATGTGTATATAAGATTACTATGCAAAAGTACTTTCGATGAAAAAGACAACTTTCTATATGTGAAACAAAATTATCTGAAAACTAACAGAAAACCTGTAGGAGTACTCAAATATACAGAATACAACGTCCTAAAGCCATTAACATGCTTTTCAATTTATTTGACAGCTCTGGCATACCCTCACAAGAGCGAGAAAATGATATACAATATGAAAATAAAAAGTCATAATCAAATAAAAAGCAAAAACTAATGTTATACTATGGGGTCCGGATGGACCCCAGGTGGGCAATAAGCGTATATTTGTACTTTGGGATAATTTATGTCATGAACAATCAATGACGATAAGCGAATGCTGTCAATGATATACTCTACTAGTCTTCACTAGAGCATATCTAGAGAGGTGTTTTATGATCTACGATTATAGATGTAAAACATTAGAATGAAACCAGTTGGGGTCCGCGCGGACCCCAGGTGGGCGTTTCAGGGTTAA